TTCCTGAAGTCTCTTGCTGTCGTTCAGCGCTTCTCCGTGTGATGACATGTGTGCATGTCAGTCTCAGCAGTGGGTGTAGCTCTCTGGCCCAGTCATACACCTAGTAATTAAACCCTGGAGCATATTGTGAAACGCCTATATGACTTAGCCTTTAAAAGTAGAGAGCCTTGTAACTACTAAATTCTGGCTTAAGGCCAAAATGACCAACATTTCTCATTGTCTAGCCTCTGTATAATCGAGTCAAATTCCTTCAACTTATTTTGAGTTTTGATGGTTTGTAAGTCCATGAACATGGGTTACAGGGAATTTATTACATTTGGGTCCTGCCCTTGGGGTCTTACAGTCTTACAAGGGAGTCAAGACAAAAAAGCAAGAAAATACTCTTGTGATTCTCATAGATACAAACTCTGCTTGACCTGAGGATCAGGAGACAGCATACTCTGACCTGGCCTGAGCCTGTTTTTGTGAAAAAAGGTTTTATGGGAATGAACCTACATACATTTACTCATCTGTGGTTGTGTATGAGCTTCAACAGGAAGCACTGAATGTCTGCCGCAGAAACCTTAAGTGCCACAGCCCTGCATGGGGAAGTTTATCCATTCCTGCCCTACTGGATCCCCAGGGAACTTGAGGACTGTGACAGAAATAGATGCGGAGCCCCAGGACTCCCTGGGTCTGGTTGACCCGAGGGCTGGTGGGTGCCCCCCAGCCCTGGTTGCCCCAGGCTCCCAGCCCAGTGCGGCCTCTGTTCAAGGACAGCGTCCCTAATTTAGGTAACCCTGGAGCTGGACAAGGACTCAGAGTTCAGGGTAATGAGGAAATAGGTCTTGGGAGAGGCTCCTAAAGAAGGCCTAATTAGGGCCAGGGATTTGGCTCAGTGGCACAGCACCTGCCTGCCTTGCAAGCGCACAGTCCTGAGTTCGATCCCTGGTACCACAAAACAAAACAAAACAAAACCAAGAAGGCCTAATTAAGGAGGGCAGTCCAGGACAGACGGGTGAGGCTGAAACCTGTGCAGGAAACAATGAGTCCATTTGTTTTTCTGGGGCTGGAGACGTGGATTGGAATTTGGCCTTCAGGATCTGAATAAATACAGTGAAAAGCAGTTCACGGAGAGCCGAAAGCCAGTCTATGGTAGGAAGTTGAGGTTTCCTCGTGAAAAAGTAGTGTAAAAGTCGCTGCACTTGTGAGTGCATCTCTATATGTTTATTTGTGGGGAGAAAGGAAAGCCCAGAAGAGCTGGGTCTCCTAAAGTAGTACTGGTTAAATCTGAGAAATAGGATGGGGGTAGAGAGGTACAGGAGAACCTCACTGTTACATATTTCATATACACCTATGATGTATGGGTATTTGGAATGCATATGTATTGATTTGTAATTAAAAATCTGCAGCCACTTATTTTTTAGTATTTTACGAATTGGCAAAATTTTTAAATGCTTAAATATGGTAATTTTTCCGGTTATGACCAGCTCTGTAAGACTGGTTTATGACCTTGAGATTGAACTGTGAAAACTCATTCTTTGGACTTGGACCTGGCAGCCTTTTGAATACATCTCCCAGGGCAATGTTCAGAGGTGGAGCCTTGGAGAGGTGACTGGGTCCTGAGGGTCCTGCCTTCACAACTAAATGAAAGCTGTTCGGCCGGGGATTTAGCTCAGTGGTTCCACCGCCTGCCTCGAAAGTGCAAGGTCCTGAGTTCGATCCCCAGTACCAAAAAAAAAAAAGAAGAAGAAAGTCGTTATCCCAGGAGTGGGTCACCTATCAGAGAGTGGGTGTCTGTAAGAGCAGGAGCTCAGCTCTCTTCCCTCTGGAGTGCTTACTCGCTGGCCTTGTGATTTTCACCGTGGAAAGTACAGCCCTCGATCTTGGATTGCCTTCTGTGAGCCCAATAGACTTCTGTTCCTTGTAAATGACCTGTGTCAGCTGTTCTGTTTTAACAGCAGAAAACAGCCTGAGGGAGGCCCCTGACTTCAGTGGGGCTCTCACAGGGCAAGTCAGTTATTAGACAGGCCTTCGGTGTGACATAGCGCCCCGTCCTGCTTTGATCTGATGTGTCAGGCTTCTGTTGGTTTAACCTGCACTCTGTGGGCCTTGCCCTGGGGCTTTCCTCCTACCTGCCAAAGGACATCTGAGCTCAAGAGATTTTCTTTCTTTCTTTCCTTCTTTTTTTTGTAAACCACACATAAAGTTTCCATTTAATGTCATGTTTAGCAACACAGAGTATATCACATTGTGTGCGGCCATCACTGCCGCCCACCTCCTGAACTGAGTTCATGTTTTTATTAGATACATTCTGTCAGCTATGGTAAACCTCAAAGGTTGGTGGGTTTTCAGTATTGGACATAATACTTCCTCCCCCAACTGAATATTATTGAATATACAATCAGGAGTCTTGTACCTTGCGTCATAGTGAAGGTAGCTTTAAGTTTGAAGATTAGGTGCTTTGTTTGAAAAGGAAGTGGATTCCAGGTGTGGTGGCTCACATCTGTAATCTCAGCTACTAGGGAGGCTGAGGCAGGAGGATCACAAGTTTCAGGCTAAGCTGGACGATTTAGTGATGCCAGTCTCAAAAGCAAAAGAAAGAGAGAGAAGAAAAGGGCTGCCACAGTGGGGGGTGTGTCCTGTGTGAGCCTAGTTTCATCGCTGTGAGTCCTTAGGGATTTTGTGGCATATTCATCTTGTTTGTGAATAAGGCGCTGACTGCCCGCTCTCCCATGGTGATTTTGAAACCAGAATCCAGTGGCGCAGATACCAGCTAAGCACTTTGCAGGTTGCACAGGTGAGCATGGCCCAGCCTCATCTGCCCAGGTCCCTAGGTTCCTAGGTCCGTTCAGGGGTGACCGGCAGGCAGAGGAAGAAAGCTGCCTTCCCTGCTGCCAGGATCTGGCTCTGCCTGTCTCAGATGTAACCTCCAAGGAGCCCCTTTACCTGGGTAACCCCAGGTTCCCTTGTCTGTCATTTCTGGTCCTGCTGCTCAGACCTGATCAAAGGATTATGCTAATTAGGGACACCCTTGTCCAGTGCCTGCCCACTGTGTGGGGGAAGCTCTTCCATGAGGAAGCTCGGAAGGGGAGGTTTTGGGTGGCCTTCTCAGGTAGCACGGGGTAAAGTGGGAAGTGTTGGGGCAATGCAGAGGCAGGCAGGTCCCACCCAGTGTGGGACAGAAGGGAGGCAGGGTAGACTCCAGTGTTAAGTGTGGCTCTCTCTGTGGGGGCCACGGACAGAGCCAGGAAGAGGCATGTGGAGCTTGTCCCAAGGCAGCAGGAAGAGTGGGTTGTAGGTTCCAAGCATCTGAAAACCTCTAAGCCACTGTTGAGGAGGAACCACGTGGTGGCTGTGCATAGGACACGCTGCCACGTGGATACAAGAGGAAGACCAGGGTGGGCGGTGGGTTGGCTGTAGGAGGTGCCTGGGGGGTCAGTCCCCGTTGCAGAGGGCCCCCGGCAGTAGAGGAGGCAGCCAGAAGGAGTGGCTTCCCCTGGAGCCCCGGAGGCTGTCTGGTGGGCAGTGCAGCGGGAGAAGCCAGGATTCCTGGAAGCCCAGTCAGGGGTCATGCGTGAAATCGGAGCAGTATTACAAGCAGGTCCAGGTGGAGGGGCCAAGAAGAAGGGGCGAGAAAGAGATCAGGTGGCGGCAGCCCCACCGAGGCTGTGGGGGATGCCGGCGTGAGAACAAGGCAAGGGAGCCTCTCGTGAGCGCCCCATCTAGTGCCTGCCCCCCTGCCCGCAGGTGGGAGTAAGGCAGGCGAGGCCCTAGAAGGAGGGAGGGAGGCCCTTCCACACAGGTGATTATAGTTTATGGAGACTCTGTTTCTGGAGAAGGAGTGCTGTCCTTTGAATCCCGGCTTCACCACTTTTTGCATGATCTCAGACAAGCAATTTAGCATCTTGGCTCTTCAGTTTCCACATTGGTAAAATGTGTATACGAATACCCTTTATACCACCTCCCAGGCCAATCCATTGTCTAGCGTAACTGGGTCGATGTATAAGGAGCATTTAAAACAGTGCCTGGCACAGTGTGAGTCCCTGTGGGAAGCTTTGGGCACTGCTGGCTTAGGGCTGCTGCAGGCGGGATCCCTTCCCAAGAAGCAGACCAGGCCCATGTTCCGGGCCCAGAGAAACCTCAGGTGTTTTCTTCGGGTCTTCAGAACCTCTTGGCAGAGGTCCCAAACAGTTGGAAGAGAAAAATAATAATTCTTTACATTTGATAGTGTTGTGCTTGTAGTTTACTAAATGTATGCATATATGTAATACATTTGTACATCTATATCCCCTCTTTTGATCTTCAGGCTCCTGACCATCTCCAAGCCTTCCCCTTCCCCACCCTCTCCCACTAGTTAGGTAGAATCAGTGCTTTGTCTTCAAATAAATGATGTGGGTTGAAAAGGATGATCATTGAGGAAAGGAATCTAAACAGCACTGGGTCATCTTGATTTGCTCTGGTAGCACCAAGTGCGAAGGAAGGGAAATTTAGGCTCCAGATGTGCATCCCATGAGCCATGGCCAGGCCACAACTGGGTTTGCTGACTGCGTTTCTGTTGTCAGCTAAAATCTGTGTGAGGCCATGCATTTGGACTGGGCCCAACAGACCAAACCAATTTAGAATTCAAATTGCAGTGTGAGCATTGGTCAGTTCAAAGAGGTCCTGTAACCATTAACTAATTAAACTAATCATTTGGCCAACTAAATTGTTTTCTGTGCCTCCCTTCAGTTTTTGTATAAAAACTGAACATGAATGTCTGATCACATTATTGAAATTTTGGGAACCTGCTCTGGTGCTGGAATCTGCCAGATTCATGTATCAGTTTTGTTTTACCTTGCTCAGATAAATCCTACTAAATTTAATTGGCCCAAGAACTTTTCCTTTTTACTCAGTGGTGAGGCCTACTTAACAGCTGCCAATCAGTTGAGACTCCTTTGAAGGCTAGGGAGGGAGGTATCCCTTGTATTTAAACTACATGCAAATATTAGGAGTTTCCTCTGCCTGCTTGATCAGTGTAAGGTCAGACCAAGCACGATTGAGACTGCTGAGGCAGGCCAAGTCTAAGCAACATGCGATGAGTTTATTGCCATCTGGGTGCAGATGGGCCACGGTGAGAAGGCCGTTGGCCCTGAGAGGAGGGTGCTCATGGTTGATATGGGGGATTTTAGGCAGGGGAGGGGGCACTGGTCAAGAGGTTGGAAAAGTTTTGAGTCCCTTGAGTGGTGGGCCTGGGGCTGGCTGGTAAACAGGGTGGTGGTGGGAGCAGCAGGGCAGGGCGGCTGCCGGCTTCTAGTGATCTCTGTTCCTGTGGATGTGGGGAGCGGGTCTGCTGGGCCGGGGTCTAACTTGGGGGACCTGTCAGTTAGCTTTTGCCTCTTCAAACTTCAATTAGGTGAAAAGCCAGAGTTGCATTTCTTTCCTTAACGTTGTTAGGCCTAGTTGAAGGCTTATCACTTCCTCATTTGGATGATTTCCCTTCCTTGTGGCCTAAATATATGACTTTTGTTTTGTTTTTTTGGTACCAGGGATCAAACTCGGGACCTTGTGCTTGTGAGGCAGGTGGCAGAATATATGACTTTTAATGAATGGAGAGAGAGAAGGTAGTTGTAATTTTTATTTTATAATATCCAAAGGATGAATTCAGAGGCAAGTTATATTGACTTTTTGGATTCCCTGATGTGCACACACTCCAACTTGGTTGTTTGTTTGTTTTTAATTTCATGATTTAGGGCTTCAGGGACTGGTGTGGGATTTGTGCCTTGACCCTAGGGACCAACACAGGCTGACTTAGCTCTTTGTGTTATGTGTAGGTCATGTGCCACGGTCACCTGAGAGAATTTGTGCCATTGCTTCCATGGCTCTTCCCCCAGGTATCTTGGGAGCTGTGGTTGCTTCCTGGTATCTTGGGATTCACTTGGGACAGATAGTTACAAGCCGGTGGCCCTGGCTCTGGGCCTTCTGTGGCTGCCTTGTTATGCAAAGCCTCGGGCTGCTTTGGGCAGCAGCCTGGGAAGGGTGCTGATTCACACTGAACCCTCCCTACTTCCGAGTTTTCTGACATCCTTGTGACTCTCACATGAGGAATATGAGTGGCTCTTGAGAAATCTTTTCTTAAGAGATTTAAAAAAATTTTTTTTTTTTTAGTTTGCTTAGGTGATTTTCCTTAAAGTTAGCACATGGATTCCTTGCTTTCTACTTAAATCTCAAGGACATTTTAAGAGGGAGGAGCAAGAATGAACAATATGTCCTGATGTTTGTAGTTTTGTTTTTCAGGTTACTTATAAAGTACTGATATTAATTAATCTAAATACAAGTGGAAATATCCTTTCATTATTTAGAGCATTATACAGATGTGCAGAAATAGTACCTCAGTAAGCACTAAATTCACCATTTTGCTTTCCTCGCACTGTGATCATTAGTGATTCTTACATGAAACTAAAGCTACTATAGCTTCCTTTTAAAATAAACTAGCAGGAAGTAGAAATCATTACTTGAATCTTTTCATTGCCTATTTCACTGACCTGACAAATCCATTTTTGGGCTTTTATTCTATTTTCATTAATATTTTCAAAATGTTTAACAAGTGCCTATTGCTGTTACTTCATTTTGTAGGTAGCCCTGGAAGGCTCTGTAATGGTACTTGAGTGCTTTTTACAGTTGAAACTTGTTTTACCATTGAGATCCGGCTTACACCTAGTTTTGTGTGGGCTCTCTGTAGGTGTTTTCACAGTCCTGCATTTGGTATGGAGAGTGTGGAATTGCATCTGGAGATAAAAGGTACAACTGCAAATATTCTGGACCGCCGAAGCCACTGCCAAAGGACGGGTATGACTTAGTGCAGGTGCGTTTCATTGGGAATGCAAAACACACATCACGAGACCCTCTGGAATTAGCCTTAAATGAAATGGTGGAATGGGGGTGGAGGGAAGGCTAAAAACAGGCTAAGTCTTGTCCCAGACTCCAACCTGTAGCATGTGATACAAAGAAGATAACTCCAGAGCCTTGATTTTTCAGGAGCTCACCTTGTACCTCTCATAAAGTTTCCCAACAGCGGGTTACTGTCCTTCGCACACCAAATGTTACTCTTTGGAACTTCTGCAAAATATATTGGAAGGTAGCTTCTTTGGTTCTTAGATTTCAGGATTTGAATAGACTCTGCCACTAAGAAACTGTGACGACACCCCCCCCCATCGTCTTTGTGGTTTCCCCACAGACCCCCGAGACCCTGGAAGTTTTGGCCACTACCAAGGTTCTCCCTTCTGTTATCATTTTTACCTTGTTCTAATATCCTTGATAAAGGAGGATATTAAAAAAGAACTTGGAAAATCAGGGTGCAAAGACTAGTTTTAGAAGCCTAAGTTATCAGTAATCAAGTTGCCATGATGTTAGACCTAGACTGACTTGCTCTTGTCCTGAGAATTAGTAAAGGTTTTGACTTTTTCTGGAGTGACTAATGGAAATCACAAAAGGCACTCTGGGTAAACTTAAACAAAAATTGTAAGAAGAGGTGAAATGATTGTCAGGGGAAGAAAGAGAGCTTCCAAGCAAGAAAAATATTAGAAGTGTCTCTAGAACCTCTACTTATGAATCCCTCATTTATCTGTTTTGCATTTGATAGCCTTCTGAGGGAATTCTGCAAGAACTTTGGAAATCCTTGGCTTACACTCATGCATCTAAGAGGGATTAGATGAGTGAGGTTGTTTATCTCACCAAGGATGCAGTCTTTACCCTTAACTGCGCTGCTTGCCCATCTGCACTCTCCCTCCAGGAGCTCTGTCCGGGATTCTTCTTTGACAATGTCAGCCTATGTTGCGATGTTCAGCAGCTCCAGACACTGAAAGAGAACTTGCAGCTGCCTCTGCAGTTTCTGTCCAGGTGGGTTGGCCGCAAGGCTGATAGAACAAGTCAGTTTAGCTTCTTGTCAACCATTAGTAGTGAGGTTTCTTTTTTAAGTCAATTTTTCTGTTTTATTTTAAGAAAGCACTCTTTATTTTGTGTCGTAAGTAAAGAGGAAGTAATCATGACCGACTTGGTTCTCTTCCCAGTTGTACTCAGTTGAGACTTGGTTTCCTGTGAGATGTCCTGGCCCAGGGTGTCTGCGTGAGGGCCAGTTCACATCTAGCGGAAGTGTCTGCACACAGTGGGAGGAGCCCTTCGCAGTGTCCTGCTCAGGTCCCATGGCATCGCTGTCTTTTCCCCCCTCATCTCCCCTGCCATGCTTGCATTCTGGCATCTTCCTGTGGTAAACAGTGCGCTAGACTCAAGTCCTCATTACAGCTGGGCTTGGGTAACTGCTAAGCTTGTTCTCGGGTAGTTGGCTGGTTTTGTCAAAATTCACTTTCCATTCTCTCTGTTTTTTTCTGTGGCCCAGGCCAGTACAGAGGATTGTATAATAGATGCTTTTCTCTGTGCCTACCTTGCAGTTTCCAGATGTTTAAAAGAACAGTATGGTTGTGTGGTGTTCTTTAGAACAGCAAATTGTGGTACCCTCGTAGGTTTTTCAGCACACTGATAAGGATAGGTGAGGAGCAAAATGAGAGGAGAAAATGCTGTCATCTGACAGCACTGTATCAGGGCACAAGCCAGCTTCCCTTGAGGAAACCTGCATCCAACCAGAATGGGCAGTACAGAGTGGACCGAACTGAGCTGTCCTCTCCGCACCTGCAGATGAGTCAAGACTAGGTGGCCACCATATCCCACGGAATTTCTAGAGCCAGAGTGGAGCCTTCCTCACATGGTCAAAAGACATTTATGTAGCACCAGCTCTAAGTGAGGCATTATGGTCATAAGCATCATCAGATCACCGGCTCTTCCTATGTTATCGGAGGCATCAAAGCCTCTAAGAGAAACAGCTTGACGTATAGAATCTTATGCAGCTGTCAAATTTAATGATCTTGGAGACTGAATGAAGTAATATGGAAAGAGATTTATAATTCATGGGAAACAGTAGAAAACTGTGCACCCCGAGAGTGATTGTTGTCAGAATAGGGTGGTTATAGTTTCTGGGTTTTCCACAGAAAAGCACAGAAAAAGTCAGTGTGTGTCTGTCCCTTTCACTGGGCTGGGTCAGCCTAGCAAGTTGTCTCCCTTGGCGTTGTGAGAATGCAAAGCAAATGAAGCAATAGCTTTTGCAGGTAACACTGGGTCAGAGGGGAGAGAGGGCCCTTTTGCTACATAACAAGTCAACATTAGGAGCTTAAACCCTGGACCTGGAGGACAGCTGTCAGCCTGTGGTTCTCCTGAAAATCTGTGTATTTCTGAAATGCACATAGTCAAGCAAACACCACAGCTATCTTTTTATCTTTAGAAGCCACACGAAAATCCTCTTATATTTTCAGAGGGCTGGGGATTATCTGGGGCCTTCCAGATAAAGATAGAAGAAGGCCTTCCAGCAGGTTAGAAGGTGAAATTTTAATATGGTGATCTTTTTTTTTTTTGCTTTTTTTCTTAATCAGAATTGTCATAACTCCAGGATAAAGATGTCTCTAAATCACAAATTCAGAAAATCTCTTTTTGAAATTACATTTGAAACAATAAATATAATTAGGGCAATTTTTAAAACTTTATTTTAACATGCAGTTGATTGGTCAGTTGTTTTGAGACAGGATCTCACTGTGTAGTTCATGCTGGCCTTGAATTCACTATGTAGCGCAGGCTGGCCTCAGACTTGCTGCAATCCTCCTGCCTCAGCCTTCCAAGTGCTGGGACTATAGACACCACACACAGCTAACATCAGGTTTCAGGAATGTGTGGGATAAACTTGTTCACATGGTAACTCATTTGTCTCTTTTCAGGAAACTTTAAATATTAACCTGTTTTAAACATATTTTTCTTACCCAATCTGTGTGTTTCATACAAAATACAATTTTCTTTTTCTTTAGATGTCCATCCTGTTTTTATAACCTAATGAACTTGTTTTGTGAGCTGACCTGTAGCCCTCATCAGAGCCAGTTTCTGAATGTCACAGCAACTGAAGATTATGTTGATCCTTATACAAACCAGACAAAAACAAACGTAAAAGAGTTACAGTACTATGTTGGACAGAGTTTTGCCAATGGTAAGTAAACTTAATTATTCTTTTTAGCTGGTAGTAGGACAGTGGATTAAGCTGTTCCTTTTTGTTTTCAGGTCAGCTGTGTGGAAAATCCCAAATTTTAGTTCCATTGTCCCTGAAATGAGAATCATTGCTTGAGCTACAACGAATAAAACAGTCTCTTTAAAGCATTTGTTTTAACCTCTTCCTAATTTTTAAATTACCATAGGAAAATTTTAGTATGTATAAATTTTAATACCCATTAGACCTCTGGTTCTAGCAGGCAGGAGTTGTGTAGTTTCATGGATTACTGCAAGATCCAGGAGAAAGGGTAGAGAGAAGTGGTTGACAGAGAAGGATAAGAGATTTTGACTCTGAGATGATGGCCAGGAAGAGGAAGTAAGCGGTATTACAATTAACAGGAGAATCCCCCCGCCCCAGCTGCTAATCATAGAGCAGTGGGAAAAAGACCATCTGTTGAAAATGACTGAGATGAAAGAATTCTGAAAAGAATGGGACCATAGAGAAAAGGAATGAACAAATTAGAACAAAGTACAGTACATCTTATGAGGGAAGATCATTGAAATAGACTAAAAGATACAACTGCGGATCAGGCACAGCTAAGCAAAGAAAGTGTCCATGAGCAATCTAAAAAAATGATAGAATTAAGAGCAGCAAAGTTACTAAATATAAGAGCCATATAAAACATGTAATTGTAATGACCAATTGCACATGTAACAGAAAAAGTTTAATAGAAAGAAGATCCTCGTCACAAAAACAACAAAAAGGGATCCAAGGACGTAGTTCAGCGGCGCCACACCTGCTGACAAGTGCAAGGTCTTGAGTTTGATCCCTGGTACCAGGGCGAAAAAAACCCCAAAAAACAAAAAGCAAGATACCTAGGAACTAATCTTCCAAAAGATGTTGCATAAAAGTCAGTCTGACTGGGGAGGGAACATTGTTCTCAGAAACAGAACTGTGTGCAGTACATGTGGAAAGTTGATACAGAACAAGTGTAGCGTTACAAATCATTGAGAAAAATGGGGACTTGATATAGGGGTGATAAATTGATTATATTTGTCTGATTTTTTTTTTTTTGCATATACGAAAAAACAAGTTTATAGATTAAAAATCCTAATCTTGGAAATTTTTAGAAGCAAATATAGACTGTCTTCATGACTTAAGGTAAGGAAAGATTTCCTAACCGCAGAGAAAGCAGAAACCGTAAGTGAGAATACTTTTGATTATTAACAATTAGTATCAAGAGGAATCCGTGAAGTGCAGGTTAAAATAGTGAACTATTATGTTAACAGATTGGCACACATTTAAAAGGTGTTGGTGAGGACGGGAGGCAGTGGAAATGCCGATAAAGTGTACTCCTCATAACCATAACTTGGCACAAATAACCATTTGAGACAAAGTTTTGCAAAACCTCTGAAGTTGAAGATAAACACCCTTACCTCAAAAATTCCACCTCCAGAGGCCACCTTACAGAAACGCTCATGCATGTGAACAGGGAGGTCTGGATAAAAACATCCACTGTGGTGTTATCATTGATCAGGAAAAATTGGAGACATCCAGAGAGTGAAAGAACAAGTCACAGGCTGGAGGAAAACATTTACAAAAGGCATATTTGATTAAGATCTGTTATCTAAAGTATACAGAGAACTTTTAAAACTCAACAATGAGCAAACAACTTAACTGAAAAATAGGCAAAAAACCTGAACAGGCATCTCACCAAAGAAGGTATACAGACAGACAAGTCAATGAAAAGATGCTGTACATTACATGTCGTTAGGAAAATGCAAAAAAGTGCAACAGGGAGATGACTTATTTAGAAAGACCAAAATCCAGAGCACTAACACTACTAGCTGCTGCTGAAGATGTGAGGCAACAGGAATTCTCATTCATTGCTGGTGGGAATGCAAAACAGTACAGCCAGTTGGGAAGAGCATTTGGCAGTTTCTTTCAAAATTAAGCATACATTCATCGTGCTCCTTGATGTTTACCCAGAGGGCATGAAGACATGTCCACACCAAAACCTCCATACATATTTTTGGGGCTGGGGATTTAGCTCAGTGGTTCCGCCGCCTGCCTCGCAAGCACAAGGACCCGAGTTCCATCCCCGGTACCAAAAAAAACCCAAAAAACAGACATATTTTTGGAGCTTTATTCATAATTGCCAAAACTTGGAAGCAACCAAGATGTTACTCAGTAGATGAGTGGGTAAATAAACTGCAGTGCATCCAGACATAGAAAAGTATTCAGCACTAAAAAGAAATGAGCTATCAAGCCATTGAAAAGGCGTAGAGGAATCTAAATCATATTACTAAGTGGAGGAGTCTAACTGAAAAGGCTGCTTAGCATAAAATTCCAACTGTGACATTCTGGAAAAAAGCAAAACTTTGGCCACAGTAAAAAGTCAATGTTTCCAGTGTTTAGTGGGGAGGAAGGAATGAGTGGCCAGAACAGAGGGTTTGTAGGCAGTGAAGTTACTGTGTGTGACACCGTGTGGGACACATTTGTCACAATGCATTGAGTATACAAAGTGAACCCCGATGTTAGCGTGGACTCGAGGATGAGGTTTGTCAGTGCCGATTCAGCGTCTGTAACAGACACAGCTGTCTGGTGTAGGACGTTAACGGTGGTAGCGGGGCTGAGCATGGGTAGGGTGAGGAGTGTGTGAGAGCTCTGAAATCCCCACTTAATTTTGCTGTGGACCTAAAACTGCCCGAAAATGTGAAATCTCTTAAATAAAAAGAAAAACTTGGAGAAATTAATAGAAAACACATAAAAGTATTAGTACAACCATGGTCTTAGGCATTCTGCCGGGGCCGGGGGGTGGGGGGGAGCGGTCAGAGCACTAAAGTCTCCACATTATACGACGCTGTGTGAAATGTCTAGGCAGATCTGTAGACACCAGTTAGTGGTTGCTTAGGGGTTAGGAAGTAGGGGGATAAGAAACATAGCTAAAGAGTACAAGATATTTCTTCTGAGGGGATGAAAATGTTCTAAATATAGTGCAGGTTGCTCATATTTATGAATGTGCTAAAATCCATTAGACTGTATACTTTCAGGGGATGCGTTGTGCAGTATGTGAATTATATCGCAATAAAGATGGTTTTTAAAAGACGAAAAGAAAGATATACCTAAGTATAGCTTAGAAAAACTATTGAGTTCCAAAGCAAATTTCTTAAAAGCAAATAAAGACACAGGTCAACTTAAAAAAAGAAAGACAATAGGAGATTTTCTTACCAGCCATGATACAAGCCAGAGTGGAATAATATATTCAGAGATCTGAGGCAGACAACTACCACTGGAGCTGAGCTGTCTTTCAACAGTGAGAGTAAAACAAAGTGATTGTGTCAGTGTCTCCTTGGAATTTAGGGGAAGAACATCCTGGGAAGTTTCTAGCCAGCGAGGACTGGCGAATGAAACTAGCAATACAGGCCCAGTCCAGCTGCTTTCTTATGTGTAAGCATCGTCAATCCTGTCCTATGTGTTGTCTTTATAGGCAGTCCACTGACACCACAATAGCATTAGGGTTGCTCACATGTGGCCTCTGTCCTGAAGCCAGTTTTCCCTGTAACTTCCCCACGTCTCCGGCTGTGCAGCCCCTGCTGCAGAGCTCTGCAGGAATCGGCTACATTGTCCACACAGTACGGGGACTCTCAGAGCCCCGCTCCTGGGTTCATAGGTGTGTGCCACTGTGTGCAGTGGGATGAGACTTCTCAGAGCCGTGTGTGACCCTTTGCGATGCCGTAAGCCTTTCTCTTTCCTGTTTTCTACATTCAAGTTACTTGGAATCATAAGCCAGTGTAGAGGGAAATTTCTCCCACCCATAGTGCATATTGCCCAAGACCCAGCCTGCTCACCAACGTGGTTGCGGGGCCTCTTGCCTGGTGAATGAAAGTAAGCCTCATGTCTCCCTCTTCTCCCAAGACCCAGCCTGCTCACCAGCGTGGTTGCGGGGGCTCTTGCCTGGTGAATGAAAGTAAGCCTCATGTCTCCCTCTTCTCCCCGGACTCCTCTTCTAGCGATGTACAATGCCTGCCGGGATGTGGAGGCCCCCTCAAGTAATGTCAAGGCCCTGGGCCTGCTGTGTGGGAGGGATGCTGACACCTGCAATGCCACCAACTGGATTGAGTACATGTTCAATAAGGACAACGGACAGGCGCCATTTACCATCACACCCATCTTTTCAGGTAGGGAGGCCAAAGCCCAAGTTTGCTGTGTTTATGGTGTTGTTTTAAAGCCAAAGAATCATAATCTGCAGTAGGAAGATAAGCAGATTCTGGTAACTAGTCCCTCCAGTTTATCTCTAGTACAAGAGGTCTGGGAGCCCGAATGGAAGACCAAGAGGAATTGTCTTTAGGGACTGCCATATAGTTGAAAGAATAAGCTGGAGATTTTGTTTGTTTTAAAAATGCTTTTAAAAGCCACACAGTCCTTGAGCTGTGTAACATATTAGCCTAGCTGCTCAGGATGGAGGTGACACAATTGAAAGCTTATCTCAGTGCCAGGCTGGGTGGTGCAGGCCTGTAATCCCAGTATTGTGGGAGGCTGAGGCAGGAGGATGATATGTTCAAGCCCAGCCTGGGCAACTCAGTGACTTAGCAAGGCTCTGCCTCAAAATTTAAAAAGGGGGATGAGGATGTAGTTCAGGGTGAAGGCTCCGGGTTTAATCTCCAGTACTGCAAAAATAAAAAATTTAAAAAGTAGAAGAAACAGCCAGATATGATGGTGCACTCCTGGGATTCCAGATTTAGCTCACTGCAAAGACCCTAGGTTCAATCACCAGAAACACACACACAAGGTCACCTTGGTATGTGGTATATGGGAGATCAGTGACAGCACCCTACACACATACGTCATTGAGGTCACTTAAAACCCCAAAGCCAGTGGCTCCAGTCTGTAATCCTACCTACTTGGGAGGCTGCAGCAGGAGGATCACAAGTTTGAAGCCAGTCTGGACAACTTAGCCAGACCCTGTCTCAAAATAAAACTTTTAAAAAGGGCCAAGAGTGTAGCTCAGTGGTGGAGCATTTGCTAGCAAACAGGAAGCCTTAGATTCAATCAGCAATGTCTCAAATAAATTACAAAACAGAGAGCAAAACATAACTTGATTATAGATGAAACAGAAGCTTCCAGTTCTTCTCTCAGGTGTTTTATTCTGTGTGTTAGTATGCTTGATACTGGGTTTAAATGTAATTTAATACAAAATTTGTAATGTTTTTTCATTGAGATCTTCATTCAATGCAATTCCTTCCTGTAGATCTTCCCATCCAGGGGATGGAGCCCATGAGAAATGCCACCAAAGCCTGCAACGAGTCTATAGATGAGGTCACGGGGCCGTGCAGCTGCCAGGACTGCTCCATTGTCTGCGGCCCCAAGCCCCGGCCCCCACCCCCTCCCGCGCCTTGGCAACTCCTCGGCTGGGACGCCATGTATGTCATCATGTGGGTCACCTACATGGCCTTTCTGTTCGTATTTTTTGGAGTATTTTTCGCAGTGTGGTGCTACAGGTAAGCAGCTTGCTTGCTTGCTTTTTTTTTCCTTTTTGTCATCCAGGGCAAGAAGAACAAAATTACCCCAGTGGAGCTTTCAGGTTTCCCTTGGCAGATATGTCCTGCAGCTAGTAAATAACTGTCTTGTTTAGATATTTAGACATTTGAAGTTAGTTTTATTCATTTATTCAAAATGATGTGTGATTTGAAGCACCACCTATTAACCCATTCTTTAGAGAATCATTGGGCTGAATCTGATCTAAATCTCATTAAATGCAGTATCATGGTCCTTTTAGATATTTGCATCATGATTTAGGACAATCATCTTTATTAACTTTTAATTTGAAATAATTTAGATTTACCAAAAAAGTTACAAAAATGCCAGGGTTTATGTGTATCCTTTTCCCAGCTTCCCCTAATGTTACAGCTGTTAGACCTATGATATCATCAAAATCATTAAATAACATTGATGTAATATTATTACTGAACCACAGGCTTTATTCTGATTTTATTAATTTTTCCTCTCATGCTCATTGTTTGATTTCAGGATCCCACAGTGCATTCGCTTTTTGTGGTTGTGCTGTTTTGTTTGTGGCACTGGGGATCCCACATGCTAGGCAAGTGGTCTACCACTGAGCCACATCTTCAGCCTTTTTAAAATTTTATTTTGGGACCAAGTCTGCTGAGTTGCCTAGGCTGGCCTCAAACTTGTGATTCTCCTACCTCTCAGCCTCTCCCGTTGCTGGGGTGACAATATATGCCAATGCACCCAGCCACTCTTTGTGTTTCATCAGTCTCCTCCAACCCGTGGCAGACAGTCCCTCGTCTTTCCTCTGCTTATGGTCTTGACCTTCTTGATGACTATTAGTTGTTCTGCAGCATGTCCTTCAGTTTGGCTCTATGTGAAATGCTTTCTCACGATGAGATGTGAGGTTTGACTGGAACATCACGGATGTGGCAATGTGTCCTAGTCTTCATTGCGGGTTATTAACCCTGATCACACTTACTGTGGTGTGTTGCTGGGTTTCTCCACTGTGAAGTGACAATTTTCCTTTTGTAGTTGAAAAATTTTTGGAGAAGTGATACTTTAAGAACTCTGTGTTATACTTTGTTTCTCCTCAAACTGTCACCCACCTCTGCTGATTGGTGGTTTCCTAGCACTATGGGGTTTGCCTAAAGGGGCTTGTGGATTTCTCTCACTTCCCCTGCATTTACTAATTGAATTATGGACTTCTTACTTATGCTGTAGGCCACATTCCAATACCATGATTTATACTGTTGCTCACATTTTTCTGGTTCTGCATGCGGGTCTGCCGTCTGGCAAGCTCCTATGTACTTTTGACCTCCCATGACCAGGTTCATCTGGTGTTTTCCCTACCCCAGCCTGGAATCAACCTGCTCTGTAAGGAGCCCTGGTACCTTTTATTGGAGAATGGTGTTTAGAAACAAGATCTGGGCACTGGGTGTGCTTGTAGCTTCTGAGGATGATCGTGTGTCTTGAAAGACACTGAAGTGAAGCATGAGAGTTACAAAGTGCAATTGCCCTTTAATAATGTGTGGTGTTTTTATTTTGTTTTGTTTTGTTTGTTATTGGGGATCGAACTCAGGACCTTGCACTTGCAAGGCAGGCACAGTGCCACTGACCTAAATCCCCTAATAATGCCTTCTTAATTTTTTTTCCCTGAGATTGGTGAGTATAGGAACCCAGGGAACTTAGAGGAAAGGAGGTGAAGACGCAGGATAGGGAAGCATGGAATTTGGGAATGTTAGGGTAACAGCCTCATCTTGGTAAGTCTCCTAGTGCCGCTTACACACCTTTATTTTTCAGAAAACGATACTTTGTCTCGGAGTACACGCCCATCGACACCAATGTGGCTCTCGGTGCGCACGCCTTTGACAAAGGTAGGCTCATTTACACGTCAAGAGGGCAGGTCCGCAGGCCTGTGGGGCTCGCTGTCCTCACCACATTGATGGCCCGTTCCAGTGCCTGGGACACGCCTGGGGTCGAGACGGATGTGGCCCTGGCCTCTGTAGCTGGGAGCCTGGTGAGGGCAGGATATCAGAACTGAGTGATTCATAACAGGGAGATAACTATGGGCTGGAGGAGGAGCTGTGAGGCGCTGCTGGAGCAAGCTATGGGCAGGGTGAGGTGAAGCACTGTGCATAGAGAGGTCAGAGAACTTTGCTTTTGAGGGGCATGGGTGTGAGCCTCTTTCCTCTATGGAGACACAGTGTCCACTGTGGACAGCCAGGAAGAGTGGCCTCGCCCAGCAGTGAGCACAGAGGCCCAGCGGGGTCGTGAGTGTGTGCCGGGCACTGGACTCGACCTGGGCAGTAGGAGCTAATGCTGTTGTCCCTGTCCTGCCTTTCCAGGGGAGGCATCCTGCTGCGACCCACTGGGGGCCTCGTTCGAGGGCTGTTTGAGGCGCCTCTTCACACGGTGGGGGGCTTTCTGCGTCCGAAACCCTGGCTGCGTCATTTTCTTCTCACTGGTCTTCATTGCCACGTGCTCTTCAGGCCTGGTGTTTGTCCAGGTGACCACCAACCCGGTGGACCTCTGGTCGGCCCCCAGCAGCCAGGCCCACCTGGAGAAGAAGTACTTTGATACGCACTTCGGGCCCTTCTTCCGGACGGAGCAGCTCATCATCCAGGCCCCGAACACCAGCAAACACCTCTACTCCCCGTACCCCTCCGGAGCCGACGTGCCCTTTGGGCCTCCGCTTGACAAGGAGATCTTGCACCAGGTAAGCCATCCCTGTGTGGTCTGGCAGTGTGCTAGCTCTTACACAGTGACCAATTCTGCCCACTAGGCATCTGGGGCTGAATGTAGTGGTTGGTGTCTCTTGAAAATCTTTAAGCATAAAAACAAAGGTATTTTTAAGTCACCTTTTAAGAAGGTGATGGTAGGGATTGAACTTCATGAAAAATTTCCTGCTGTCTGCCTTGAATGGATTTCCAACAGTAGGGCTTTCCTTTTTCTTGAAATTGGCATGAGCAGAGGAAGACCTAAGTAGCATTTCTCTGTTGAAGCAGAATGTATCCATAGGGAATTCACCTTAGGAACCTGTGATTTCTTCCTTTGGTGACTGAGAGTCATATGAAAACACTCCAAGGAATGATAGCTCCTATGCTGTCCCAGCTGCTAGAACGGGAGCCTCTGGATCATGATGGTGCAGATTCCAAGGATGAACTTCCCAGGGCCTGAAAGGCCTCCCAGCATGCGGGTGATAGGAGGTGCATTTCAGACGAGGCCCATCTGTGACAGAGGAGTTTAGAGCACCCTGTGTCCACCGAACCTGCCGTGTAGACCTGTGCCTCTGACTAACCTACCGCCACTTCCTCAGTGGATGATTGACTGCATAATCACATGATTTTTCCTTTAAATGTTGCTCTTGTTTGAAAAAAAGTATGAAGGCGTGTGTCATTTCAAGGTGGCTCAGGAGCAGCCTGGAGGAGCAGAGTTAACTTGGAGGAAGATTTTATTTGACAGGATCACTGCAGACTCTTCAGGGTTCATAGTAGCATGATGCACACAGACTCCTGGGAGTTCCCCTAAGTTCTAAGAGGACTGCTTTGCCTTTTGAATCAGAGAGTTGCAAAGTTCGGTCAAGAATGGCCCTTGTGGATGAGCACAGAGTCAGGCGACAGCATTTGAACAGAATTTGTGACGGTATCCAACCCCAGATCAGGAACAGCCCCCAGCACCCCGCCCCCTGGTGTTGCTGCTAGACAGCAGAGACTGCCCTGGAGATGCCCGTCCTGAAAGAAGCTGTTACTGAGGCTGTGGGTGCCATGATGTACCGCACCCTCACCTCACCAGGGGAGAATTGGAGAAGTTCAAGGCCCTGAGAGTGACTGTGCGGATCAGCAACGGCTATGACAGCGTGGACATCAAGGCTGCTGGCGAGCTGGGGATCACCATGTGCAACATCCCATCCACAGCCGTGGAAGAGACAGCCGATTCCACCATCTGCCACGTCCTCAATCTGTACTGGCAGAACACGTGGCTGTACCAGGCACTGCGGGAAGGGACATAGGTACAGAGTGTGGAACAGACCCTCTAGGGGGCCTCAGGAGCAGCCCAAAACCATGGAGAGACTCTGAGCTTCATCAGCTTTGGCAGGCAGTTGCTGTTCGAGCTAAGGCCTTTGGATTTATCACCATATTTATGACCCCTGCTTACAGGATGGCGATCCCTGGGCATTCAGGGAGTCTACACCCTACAGGTCTTCCTGTATCAGAGTGACTGTGTCTCCTTGCACTGTAATCTCAGTGAACATAACCACCACCTCATCAGTGACTTTACTGTAAAGCAGATGAGGCAAGGGGCATTCCTAGTGAACGCAGCCCGCAGTGGCCTGGTGGATGAGAAAGCCTTAGCCCAGGCCCCCAAAGAGCACAGCATACGAGGCGCAGCCCTTGATGTGCAGGAATCTGAGCCCTTTAGTTTTGCTCAGGGTCCACTGAAACACGCACCAGATCTCATCTGTTCTCCCCACGTGGCCTGCTGCATGAACAAGCAGCCCTGGAGATGAGGGAGCCAGCTGCCACCGAGATGGTTGCATCCTAGAAAGCACAAGAAACTGTGTCAACAATGAATTCTCCGTCACATCCGCTCCTTGGTCAGTAATAGACCAGCAGGCAGTTCATCCTGAGCTCTGTGGTGCCCCATACAGGTATCCACCAGGCGCTGTAGGTGTGGCTCCGGGAGGACTTCCTGCAGCCCTGGAAAGGATTATCCCTGGAGGCATCCTGCTGACTCACGGCCTTCCCAAGCTCCCTCTCCCAACCAGCCCGCAGGCACCTTCCTGTTTATGTGACGAAAGAAAAACTTTAAACTGTCCCAGACAGAAAAGTAATGGCTGTCAGAAGTTTTGTTTTAGTGTGAGTTACCATTACTGTATTTGTTTATTGCAAAGGTGGACATTTAGCATTCAGTGCACTTTTCCAAAAAAGTACTTAAAATTTCAAAAGAAAGTGTGAAATCTTGAAAAGCATTTATGTGGTCCTAAGACTTCATTAGAACCTTTCCTCCACCTGATAACCCTCGGTTGCTTTTTGCCAACGTACTGCAGAAGCTGAAGAGCAAAGAGCGTATTCTGCCCCACAGAGCTGGGTCGCTGCTGGGGAGTGAGGCGTGGGAAGCGATGCACACAGCAAGGCAGGCGGTGGGGTCTTGGGGGGAGAGCCCAGGGAAGACCAGGCGCGTGCTGCAGTCTCTCTGGTGCCTTGTGGGTAACGGCTGAAGTGTGTCCTGTGTGAGGTCCATGCAGGTCCTGATGTCCCCCACGCATTTCTGACCAGGTTCTTTGTCCCAGTTTGCCTTTGCCACCCTACCTCAGTTCTACCTCACCATAGTGCGCCTTCATCCTCTCCTATTTTTGTTTTGTTTTATTGTCCCATTTTTTTGGTTTTGTTTTGTTTTTTGTCTTGTTGAGACAGAGCCTCACTATGTAGTTCAGGCTGGCCTTGAACTCTCAACAATCCTCCTGGCTCGGCCTCCTCTAAGTACTGGGATTACAGGCATGCACCACCACACACAGCTGTTCTTCCCATTTTAGGAAGTATTTTCTCCAAATCCTCTTTATTCTGACCCTACAGGATAGTAGTAGTTAGTAGAGATCTGAATTGATCTGACGTGCTTCTGAGTTTGCTTATTTTTAAAATCTTTCAGGTTCTCGACTTACAAATAGCCATTGAAAACATTACTGCCTATTATAACAATGAGACTGTGACACTTTGGGACATCTGCTTGGCCCCTCTCTCGCCGTATAACAAGAACTGCACCATCTTTAGTTTGCTAAATTACTTCCAGAATAGCCATGCTACGCTGGACCACGAAGTAGGGGACGACTTCTTTGTGTACGCTGACTACCATACGCACTTCCTGTACTGCATCCGGTAAGTGTGGTCGCTCCTGTGTCCTCCAGAATTTAAGTACTTACTGTTGCCTACACCCTCCCTGGTCCTGGAGACCAGCAGGGAGCAGACAGGGCGGGACCTGTCCTACAGAGCTCACATCCTTAAGGGACAGGAAATGAGTAAACCGTTATTGCTTAGCAGTGGGGACAGCCTGGTTAATGTCTTTGTTATGCACACATCATAGAGTATTGACACGAACTAAGATGGCCGTGACATTACTGGGCACTGTGCTCTTAAGGGACCGCCATTGTATATGTGGTCCCTATTGACAAAGACGCTGCACGTGGCTGTGTATGCTGTTGTGCCCGGTGGAGATGAATGCTAGGAAAGGAGAAGTGTGGTAGGCTGAAAAGGAATGGGTTTCAGGGCAGAGACCTACGCAAAGTAGCAGGGAGGGAGACAGCCTGTGGCTGTCACAGGAAAGAGAAAGCTTTTCAGCAGATGAGCAGCAATAGAAAGGCCCTAGGGTGGAGCCTTCTGAAAGTGTAATCCAGGAAGAGCAGGTCCTTCTCAGTCTGTAAGTCATGCCTGGGTCAGTAACATGCAGTTTCAGGTACACCTGGCCCATAGATTAAAGGGAGAAGCTTACTGTGCTCTTGCTTATTTATTAAATATAACCTTATATTGTGATACTGCATTGTTTTTAAAGCCTGCAACCTGTCTTCGAGTAGCCAGGGAGGACAGGTGTGCAGTTTAACTTGGAGGGCCTGCAAGCTGCTTTCCTTGTCAGCTGTGCATCCAGCTGGGCAGGGCTCCTTGAGAATCGGGATTAGTCACCCAGGGTGGCCATGTGTCCCCGGGGACAGAGAAGTTATTCCTTGTCTTCTTTGACACTGCTCAGCTAGCCACGTCTCCAGAGCCGAGCACTCTGGTTTCTGGTTGTCAGGAACTCTGAAACAGCGCATCTGTAATCCCAGAACTCGGGAGGCTGAGGCAGGAGAATCACCATGAGTTCAAGGCCAGCCTGGGCTATATAGCAAGACGCTAACTCAGAACAAACAAACAAACAAAAACAACTCTGAAACCGGAAGTTCTGTCTGTTTCTTAACTGGGACCCTTCAGGCCACTGGGCTGTGTTCACTATTTCGAGCATATTGCCTCTAAAACCATGAAATATCTTCATAAAACAGTACCTGTACATGTGCCTGTGTGCCCAGGGCAGCAGCCCTGACTGGGCAGATGGTACAGGAAGCTGGAGGTGACTGAGAACAAAATTTAATATATAATTTCTATAGGTGGAGGAAAAAATCTGTTTTATTTCTATTTTAAAAAATAAAAGTCAAAAAAAAGCAAAGTTTTGGAGGAGGGGCATGAGACGCGTGTTGCACCAGAGGATGTTGTTCTCACGGGTGTGGAAGCCCTGGCAGCCTTCTGTGGCGGCTGTGTGCCTGGTGTGTAGTCACACTGGTGCATGTCCTCTGTGGCCTCAGGCCTGTCACCAGCCACCCCTTTCCTCGCTCTCCAGCTTTTCCTGGCCATTCCCGACCCCATGTCCCATGGAAGGGCCAGGCACACCAGGCACACCGCACCTCCTAGCCAATCCTACAGGGGCTCTGTCCCTGCCTTTCCCGAGGATGCTGCCGATTGAATCTGACGTGGAGGAAGTCAGGCTGTGGGCAAAGGACTCGGCCCCAGCCGCAGGTCACCTGCCACCTGGAACCTCCCAAGGTCCCAGCCCCGTCCTGGCTGATGACGTCCTGAGGCGCTGCTTCCTCCGCACAGGCATCTAGTCGGGGCCTGGTACACACTTCCTCTGCTTGCTCTCACTCTTTCCGCTTCCAGCCCTTCCACTTTGCCACCTCCGGATCTGTGCAGCAAAGTGCATGGCATCCCGTTCCTGGAAGTCTCGGGCTTGTTCCTCAGTGCCCCAGGTTGAAATCCAGACCACGCGAGAGCGCATCCTCCTACTCACACCCCTCTCCTGTGCCTGACCTCGCTCCCCACCATCTGCTCCTGTCCTCCCTGCTGGCTGAGTTCCTCTTGTCCTTAGTGATCTGGCTCTGCACGGGTCTCCTCCTCTTGGTAGCCTGTGTCAAGTGTCCCCTCCTCTGCTCTGTGTGCCACCGATTGCCTGGGCTGTGTCTGCTGCCTCCTGACTGAGCTCCCACCAGTAAATGACAAACTGTATCACTTGACTCGGCCCACATTGTGCTCTGAACACAGTCAGCCACGGAAAATGTTTGTTGTCTCCATGTTCATCTGAGATGTCTTGAAGCTTATTCTAACTGGAAGATGTCTTCTCACCTTGTGGCAGGGCTCCCGCCTCTCTGAATGACACGACCATGCTCCATGACCCTTGCCTGGGGACGTTCGGAGGACCAGTGTTCCCGTGGCTCGTGCTAGGCGGCTATGATGGTGAGTGAGAAGCCCCCACTCCCGGTGGCTGAGGTCACGCGCAGGCAAGGGTAAGTGCAGAGGTTGCACAAAGTGAGCCGTGTTCTTACTTCCCTTTGCCTTGGGTCCTAAGCACGATGCCTGCTGTGGTTTGGGTCTAGCTTAACCGTGGATTTTAGAGAAGTGCATTGCGGTAACCTTTCAGGTCACACATGCCTGGGACCTGGGAAGCTGGCAGAGGCAGAGGACATGTCCCTGTTGTGCTCATCCATACACATTGCTCAGTGGCAAGAAGCTCTCAGAGCCTTGGGGCTCCCCTGTAAACGGACCCCAGATCCAGAACCCCTCAATGGGAAGGGATAAACGTGAGGGATGGAGAGAAATGAAGTTCATGGATTTTTCCTTCTAAACCCATCAGGACAACTGGGACGGTTCTAGGGGGAGGAGCAGCTGTTTGCTCATTGCTGCTTGTTCCCCTTGCGTCTCAGGACAGGTTATATCAGATAAAATGGGCCATTGATTCATGAGACACCTTTGGCATCTGAAGCCTAATTACAAGTTCAACAGGTTTTTCTCCAGCCATTTAAGAGGGCAACTAGGTTTTCTCCCCGTCCCTCAGGGGCAAGGGGGAAGCTGAGGTCTGTGTGTAAATTTTTCTGTCTCATATGATAAATGCCGTTTCTAGCAGTGAGGAAGGGATGGTATCGACAGCTGGCCGACCAGAGGGGAAAATTACATTTGACCTCTTTCCTTCTCCTTCCATCAAAATAAACTCCAGCCAGATCACATTACAATGTAAGAAGTGGCACTGTTGAAGAACCGGAAGAAAGTAAAAAGATTTTTAAGTTGAGAAGGCATTTTCAAGGAAAATAGAAAACTTACAGGCCACAAAATGAAAGGTTGATGAGTTTTGACTTAAAAATTTTTCAATTTGTATGGAGAACAGTTTTTTTTTAAAGGCATGAAATTGAACAAAAAATTCATAACAGCATTTCCTAGCTGGACATGGTGGAGCATGCTCATAATCCCAACATTCAGGAGACTGAGGCAGGAGGATCGATGTGAGTTTGAGCCAGCCTGAATTACATAGCAAGACCCTGACTCAAAAGAACAAAAACCCCAGAATTTCCTTTTTATATAAAGAACTCTGTGAAAAAAAGAAAAGATCAACCCAAAGGAAAAGTGAAAGTTAACAAAAGCAACAGTACAAATGCTGCAGTTGTATGGGAAAATGCTCACACTCACACCTGTTGGTGGAAGGCATCTCTTGCCAGTCTTCCTCCCCAATAAATTAGCAAGGACATAAGAGAGTGATGAAGCCCCATGTTGGTGAAAACATGGGGAATTCTCTGTTGTGGGTGAGAATATAAATTGGTTACTAGACTGACCTCCAGTAGGGAAAGGGTTGTTCTCTTTTATCTCTGACATATCACAGCACCTAGAGTAACAACTGGCACAAACCAGGCCTCAGTAAATATTTAGCTGAATAAAGACATCAAAACTAGCATGGCCCGTTTAGCAGTTTGGAATTTATCAAAATTAGAAATGGTGCCACACACCTGTAACCCCAGCACTCAAGAGGCTGAAGCAGGAGGATCATAGCAAGTTCAAGGCCAGCTGGGCTACATAGTGAGTTCACAGTCAGCCTGAACTACACATAGCAATGCCCTGTCTCAAAAACAAACAAGACAAACTAATCCTAGAAATGTATTGGTTTTTAACAGTGTTTCTACTTGGAAGATTGATTCTAAAAATATATACTTTACACACTAAAAATATTGATGTTCTTTGTAGTAATCTTGTATGTAACAACAAAAGAAATTGCAAAAGTGTCCATACTTTGCAGGTTGGTTAAATTATACTAGAAAACATTATACAGCAGAAAAAGAACAAAGACACTCTCTAAGTACTAAAATTGACAGTCTCCCAATACAAAATTTGTAGATGTAATGTTACGGTATAGAAAGTCACTCTGTGTGTAAGAGGGAAGGGGAAGACTACATGTGTGTTTGTGCATCCCTGGGTGTGTCTGGAAAGAGTCACACAGGACCACAACCTGGGGAGGAGAACTAAGAATGGCCCGGGGATCAAGAAAGGGGAGAGAACATTCACTGAACACCTTTCTGCCCCATTGGAAATTCTTACCATGCATGCACTGTGTCATTCAAAATAGTTGCTCTCCCGGAGTGACAACTGTACCTACTTCGGCAGGAGCACACTGTACTTTATATTCATGAACTGAACCTCACACGCACCTCCTGCTGGTTGCTCTTGGGGTGCAGAGAGACCGCAGCCGTGAGAAATCAGCCAGCTACCATGTTGGGATTTGCCCTGTGTGTATTTCCAATTTTCTGCATATTATAATCTGCTTCTTCGTGTCCCATTTTTCCTTTCTAGAGGAAAACTACAATAATGCCACTGCCCTTGTGATTACCTTCCCTGTCAATAATTACTACGATGATCCGGAGAAGCTCCAGCGGGCCCAGGCCTGGGAGAAAGAGTGAGTCAGCCCAGGGCGAAATAAACCACCCTTGCTGTGTGGGAAGCAGGGTGTTTTTGTGACCACTTGAGCATCTCCATCATGTGCTCTCTCTCACCTGTACTAATGGCACTCCAAAGAACTGTGCAAACGAATTTACCTGTAAATGATGGCTTAACTAGTCTTACTGTAACAGTGCCAAAGGACATGTATGTATCCCCATAAGTTCACCACCACTGCCTATAGCAACAGTCAGTACTTTCTTCCTTTTTGTACCAAATGATATGTTCCATTGATGGATACACCACATTTTGTTTATCTCTTCATCGGTAGATGCACATGTGGTTGGGTTTTAGCTTTTGGCTCTCATAAGTAATGCTGCTATAAATGCTTGTATACAAATTTTTGTGTAGATATAAGCTTTCCTCTCTTTTAAGCATACTGTATGTCTAAGAGTAGAATTGCTGGGCCACGTGATCACTGTCCTGTAATTGAAGAACTGCTAGACTGTTGTCCATGTGTGAGGTTCCAGTTTCTCTACACCTTTGCCAACAGTTGTTATTATCTGATGTTTTGGTTCTAGCCATCTTAGTGGGTGTGAAGTGCTATCTCACTGTGGTTTGATTTGCATTTTCCTGATGTCGACAGATTTTATGCATCTCTTGTGTGTGTTGTCTCTTAGTACATGTTCCTTGGACAAATGTCCATTCGCTTTTTGCCTATTCTTAGTTATTTATTATTTATGTAGTTCAGATATCTTATCAGATGTATGATTCCAGTATTTTCTCCCATTCTGAGGGTTGTTTTGTTGTTTTCTTGATGATGATGTTTGAAGCATAAGCGTTTTTAATTTTGATGAAGTCAAAAAATTTTTTTTATGTTGCTCATACTTATGGCATCAGATCTAAGAAGCCATTTCCTAATCCAAGGACCTGGAGATTAGGGTTCGTTTTTATGCATGGTGTGAGGGTTAGGATCCAAGTCCGTTCTTTCACATGTATCAATCCAGTTGTCCCAGACCATCCATTGGAGAGATTCTTTTTTTCCATAGTGAATGGGAATTCTTTTCCCTTATGGAAAATTAGTTGACCCCTGACAGAAACCGAACTGGACTCTCAGTTCTGTCCCTTTGCTCTGTCTATTCTTGGGCCAGTACCCACGCTCACTTAATTACTGTTGTTATGTACAGTGGACCCTCAAGTTACGACTGGCCTGACATATGAACAACTTGGTGTACGACCAGAATTTTAGTTTTAACTTCTGATTAAAGTCCTGAGTTTACAACCCGAATGCTGGCCGCTTGTACTTCTAGATGGTCTCAGATACAGATTTAACCCTTAAAGAGTTCTGGAAGGAACATTACAACATCCTTTGCTGTGTAGGGTTAATTGAGAAATCCTGGGCCAATATCTCTCTAAGCCACTGAGATCTTCCTTTGTACAGAAGAGAGACTTTGAAGGCTGTGTAGAGGAGCCTGAGCCTTCATTGACCAACTTGATTTACAGCCAGCCTTCAGGAACAAATTAAGTTCATAAGTCATTCAGAAATAGAGCAATCAATTCCTTTCACAATAGCATCCTAAAAATTAAAATACCTACGAATCAACCTAACAAAAGAAATCAAAGACCTCTTCTCTGAAAACTGTAACACTCTGAAAAAAGAGACTGAAGAAGATATCAGAAAATGGAAAGATATCCCTTGCTCCTGGGTAGGAAGAATCAACATAGTGAAAATGGCCGTACTTCCAAAACTGCTATATAGATTCAATGCAA